TCTATATCTATGTAAAAAATTTATCAAGGCAGAATTGTGGTGGCCCAATGTGTCCCGGTGCTAAAATAAAGCACCTTGAAAGGATGCGGCACAATAATAACCAAGACAAAAATTAAACACTAAAAATATATTTGTAAGTTTCTTTACGCTGTCTGCCGGCGCGATGTTTATTAAAACAAAGACATTAGTAACGAAACTAGCTACCCAATACGCATAGGCTTACAAATATATTCTAACCTAATATACCTAATTCTAGAACAATGTCTAGTTGCAACCTTTACTCTGTCTGCCGGCGCGATGTTTGTTAAAACAAAGACATTAGCAACGAGACTAGCTACCCAATAAGTATAGAGTTGCAATACACTTAGTCAAATAAATTTAAATCTCAATTTAAATTGAGAAGATTGTGACCTTTAGCTTTGTCTGCCGGCGCGATGTTTGTTAAAACAAAGACATTAGCAACGAGACTAGCTACCCAATAAGAAAAGCTCACAATAAATTTTTATTATTAAATGAATATCTAAATTTAGGTTGGATTTATTGTTAAAATAAAATAATTTAAAAAAAATATAATGTTTAAAATATTATTTGATGTTTATTTTCATAACAAGAAAAATAAAATATTATTAATGATTGAACAAATTAAATTAAATTAAAAGATTCACCAAAACAAAATTCACTTTAAAATTTCTAAGTGTCATTTAGTTTTAAAGAAAAATATTCTAAGTCCAAATTAATTAAAAAATCGACTAAGTCCCGGAGAGTGAAATCTTGAGTAGAGTGTCGTAGATTTTGTGTATTTTAAAATCGTCAAAAGAACTGGTTTTAATGGGGAAAAATGGCTTTTTATAGTGTGAAGGGGGTAGCCCAGCGATCTCTACCGTGATCCTAGAAGCTGAGGCTTTGTATTCTAATTGGTTAATTAAAATGGGGTCCCAGCGTGTAGGCGTTACTTAATAATTTCTACAAGAGGGAGGTTTTATCGTATAGTTAAAAGGTTATTTTGTATTTTAAATAAGAGAACCCTGTTTTGGTGATCTTGTATAATCATAATATGTGACATACATGAACAAATGATAACATCATATTATATATTAATATTATGTGTAATAATATAATATTACAATAGACATATATAACTCATAACAATGTGTTATTACTAAACAATTATCATATTTAATTTTAATTTAAATATTATAATTTTTAAAAATTTTGAAGAGATTAAGTTTTCTTATGAATTTTCAATGATTACGGCTATATAAATAACTATCATTCCTATTTTAGCACGCACAATGAATTGGATTTAATGTCATCAACTTTAAGTGAAATTTCTTGTTCATTAATATCAGAAACATTAAAAAAAGCACCCAAAGTCGTATACAAAATAAATTTAGCTGATTGTTTACTATCATTAGATAGCCTTAACATTTTAATTGATATGGTTAATTATTTGAGAAATTTATCATATTTGAATTTAAAAGGAAATAAAATAGGCCCTAAATCAATTATATGTATTTCCAATATGTTGAAGTGCAATTCTACGATTACTGAGTAAACTATTAATTAGTCTTAAAAGATAGATAAAAACTAAAAAATAATTTAAAACAGGCTTCATCTAGATTGGAATAATATAGGTTATTCCGAAGAAGCATTTGCTCAATTATGTAACAGTTTAGTGTGTAATACTACACTAGTAACATTGAATTTAGGTTCAAATAATTTAGATAATGATTGTATGATCCATTTGGCTAAAGTATTACAAAAAAACAAATGTTTAAAATTTATTGGTAAATGATAATTTTTCAATCATAANTTTAGATAATGATTGTATGATCCATTTGGCTAAAGTATTACAAAAAAACAAATGTTTAAAATTTATTGGTAAATGATAATTTTATAATATTTTTGAATATGCCAATACCTGTATTATACTAAAATTATATTTGTTTATTAGACATTAGCTGGAATAGTATAGGTAACAGAGGCATAGTGTATTTATTAGAATATTTGAGAAAAAATACTACTTTAACAAATTTGAATGTGCAAGGAAATATGGCCACTTCTGACACTATGTATGCAATTGGTTAGTAAGTTATATGGTGAAATAAAATTGCGGCATTTAAAATAAAACAGTTATAATATACTTGTTTTATGATCGATAGTATAAATTTGAGAATTTATATAAATAATTAAATAAATCGACTGAAAAAAAAAAAATTTTTTATCAACATCATAATGATTTTTGTTGGTCAAAATAAATCTGTAAAATGTGTCCTCTCTGTTTAAAAAATAAATAAATACATAAAAGTATTTTACAGGCTGACAAATTAAAAATCATCTAAAAGTTGATAAAATGAACTATTCTGGTCGCAACTAAAATAATTGGGCCAGATAGTTTTAACAAATAAACATTTCTTAGAAACTTTTAACGCTTTTTTTGTACTATAATTAGAAAATGTAATGCAGCAAAATAAATTAAATGAGTTGGAACAACAAAATTCTGAAATGAGAAATGTTTGTATTCTTGAACAGTTAATAGCATCAGATAAAAAAAATCAAGCACAAATAAAACAGTACCAATGTCGAATAAAGTAATTATATTTTTGTTTACAACTTAAGTTTGTAATGTATCTTCTTCTTATTATTCTTCTTCTTTAACCTCTCCTTATTCCCAACTACTTAGGATAGGCCTCCCTTATCCTAAACTTCCACTTGACACGATCTCTCACATCATTTACACTCACATTGGCCGTTCTCATATCGCATTCAATAACATTCCACGATCTTTGTATAGTCTTCCTCTACCTCTTCTTCCTTCAACATTCATTTCTATAACTGTTCTTACAGCTTCCAATTCTTCTCTCCTCATAATATGACTAAACCATCTAAGTCTATTTTCTCTCATCTTATCCACGATTGAAGCTACACCTCTACTCCTTCTTATAAATTCATTCCTTATCCTATCTTCTCAAGTCACTCCACTCATCCATCTAAACATTCTCATCTCTGCTTTACTTTCATGTCAACCGCCCAAAACTCTGAACCATACATCATAGCTGGTCTCACTACAGTCATATAAAACTTACCTTTCAGCCTCATTGAAATTCCTTTATCGAATAACACACCAGACGCTTCAGTCTATTTCAACCACCCACACTTAATCCTGTGTCTTACATCCTCGTCAATACCACCGCTCTTTTGCACGACTGATCATAAATACTGAAGACTGTTCGCCTATCTTATTACGCCCTCGCCTACTGTCACTGATCTCCTTATTACACTTACCTAGTGTTCTCCTTAGTCAAACTTGCAAACATTTTTCTTACAACTTTAGTTAATAAGGTAAAATTTAATTTACATACTGACTTCAGAGAACTAGAATCAAAACTTTGTGTCCTCCAAAACGAGAATGAGCAAAAAACTCAAGAATTAGACTTCATAAAAAAAAAAGATGTAAAACATGAAATGAACTGTCAAAAGTTAGAAAATGAACTCAATCTAGTTGAGTTGAAAATACAAAATCAAACACAGAGTTTGAATAATTTTATACAAAAATATAGTCGTGAAATGTCTAATGACGATCTCCAAGAGCTAAGTACATTAGAGGTCAATATCATTGAAGAAAACAGAAATTAAGACCATACTTTAATGAAATAAATATTACATAGGGATTATATTTAGGACGTAGAAAAAATAAAATATATCGTAAAAATATATGAAAAAAAATGTAATAATAAAATAATGAAAGAACGTCAATTGCGTCAACAATTAACAGAAGAACTTCCTAAGTTTGCCAATGAATCAAATTCTATTAAAGAGGAATTAAATATTGTCAAAATGTCGGTAAAAAATGGAATAAACTATTTTAATGGTAATTACTTTTTCTAAAATTTATACTATTTTTAGATTGATACAATTTCCTAAAAATGAAATTCCCCGACTTTTCCAAGTACTTTCAATAAAATATATGAACTGAATAACATTTTATCAATTACATATTCTTTTACTAAAACAAATTTTTAAACTAAATTTATGCCAACAAATTATTTATTTGTACATAGACAAATTGGATACCATAAAAAACATAAATTTTACAACTTTAATGAATCACGGAGAATTAGAAAAAATATGTAAAGACTTTCATTTAAAATACAATGCCGAAGTTCAAAACGAATTAAACATTTCTCAAGATCAGGTAACAGTTTTAAAACACACTAAAGCTTACACACTGAAATGAATTATTGTATAAAGTATAAAAAAGTATTAGTGTTAGTAGTAGGTCAGTATTTTTTTTAATAAAAACTATAGTTATCTTATAATTAATATACAGATAACTCTTATAGTAAATAAATGATTGGTAGTCCCGTAAATTTTAGGAGAAGTGTTTAAGAAATATATAATAAAAATCTCACTATTAGTTCAGCCCATAATCATATAGATAAAACATTTTTAAATTTATTTTTTACTTAAATTTTAAGGAAAAATTCTTAAAATTAGTAAAATTGTGTAATTGAAACAAAAAACAATGTGATATTAAAATCAAAAATTAAAGTAATATATTTCATAGGTTCAAATTAATTCTCAAAGTAGAAAATTTGCATTATATTGGTTGGAAAAAATTATTAATTAGTTTAATTTTTTATTTATTAAATCTTTTGATTCTACGACGGACTTCTTAAAATAATAATTTTTTTGTGACAGACAAAAATGCTTATTATTCTAAGTACTGAATTACAAAAAATTAATAATGAAAAATTAGAATTGCAATTACAATTAAAAGAAACACGTAAAAAAATATTAGAATACTTTGAAAAAAATCGTGTTCTTGAGAGCTGTGTTGTATTAGCCAAAAACGAATCACAAAAGTTAAATGAAGAAAAACTGTCTAAAATAACAGAAATATCTAGTATGCAAAACCGCATAATAACATTGAATGAAGAATTAAATAAGCTTAAGAACAATGTTTCCGAAAAAAGTAACTTGATTGAGGGTTATAAAGAAAATGAAAAACGAATATTTATTTATGAAAGTAAAATACTTGAACTAGAACAACAATTAGAATCAAACAAACGCGTCTACCAAGAAGAAAGGTATTTATTCAAGTTATCCTATTTATTGTTTTATAGGTATAATTTTTTTTTTCAGAAAAAAAAATCTGAATGGGTTAGAAATTATTAGAGATCAATTTTCAAATTATATCAATTTAATGAAACAGAATAATAGGAATTAGTCCAACACTCGTAAATACAACTACATCAGCTAATGTTTAATCAGCTAACTTAGTTATCATTAGGTAATTATTATATTCAACTTTAACTTTAGCCTCCCTTATTTAACTCTGATTATATTAATCAAAAAAAGTTTCAACTTATGATTTTTATAGCTAAAATATTTTTTTACGTTACCAGTCAAATTTTATTAAGAAAAAAATAGATAAACAAAATAAAATTCTATTACAACATATATAATATAATAACAAGAGTTGGCCATTTTACAATAATAATTTTAAGGTTCATTAAGGGTGTTAAGCATTTAACACCCTGTTAAGGGTGATAAGGAAAAAATTTTTATATAATATTATAATAGTCGATTCCCATCGAATTGTTTAACAATACAATATAATTAATTTTATTAAAATAGGAATAGCTGCAATAGTTACCTATCTAGTGCCTGGTACAAAATAGTGGTCAGAAGTAGGATCTTTTGGGAAGAAATATTTAAGAATTTAAGAAATATTTACTTATTGAACCAATAAGCTACTTGTTTAATTAAATTGCGATTTCCTTATATTATTTGCTAATAGAACATTTTATTTTAATCAAATTTTGATGTAAATGTAAATTGTTATCATTAAATTTAATTTTTTTCGAAACATAAGATAATATAATTTACTTTAATATAAAAATAAGATCTATTCATTATTCAACTGTTTACGTTTTGTTATAATCATTAAGTGTTATTTTCAGATAAAAAACAATAGAATTTTATAAATCTGATATTACTTAAATAATAAAATAAATATTAAACATTATAATTTTGAAAGCTGAATTAATAACACNATAAAATAAATATTAAACATTATAATTTTGAAAGCTGAATTAATAACACAAGCTTAAAATAAATTTCAAATTAATGTGAGTTACTTGAAAAAAATGGAAATTTAATATCTAGTCTCAAAATAAAAATTGCTATAAGTTAAATATTATTTGAATTAATCAGAAATAATATATTAAATATACTTAACGATATGTTAATTAAAGAAACATTAAAAATAAATATAATACTTAATTACATTAATTGATTAATAATTTATAATAAAACAAGAAAAATTTGCTACATTTATTCAATAAGTTCATATATTTAAACATATATAATTACAGATTAATCATGATAACCTAATAATTTAACACATTCACATAATACATAGTAGATTAATTATAAATCTTTAAACAATCTTGATTGTTTAAAATCTAAAATCTGATTAATTTTTTCAAAGTTAAATTAAATTTATTAAAAATGAAACTTTCAATTTTTATTTTCATTAAGTTTTTTAACAAGATATTATTAATATCTAAATTAATTTTTGTTAAAAATTAAAAACTATTCATCATCAAAATTTATTTAAATTCTGTTTAATTATTTAACTAATTACGCTAAATAAAATAACAATTGATATTATATTTAAAAGTAGTTGTACATTAACTTATATTGAATAATAAAGTTTAATTTTAGTAGGTTTTTGGCATGCACTAACAAAAATAATAATTTAAAATACCAAATAGAAAATAATAATAGTATGTATTATATTTATTTAATACCATCACACAATTCTATGATTTAAAACTTCACTCGAATATTAAATGTTTTTTAAATTATTTGCTTAATTGAAAATAAGGTTATTTTATTTTTTTGGTTTAAAAGCCGATTTAAATAGTTTAAAATTGTCAGAACAATTTTTTTTAATATAGTATTACAGTTCAAAAGTTTTTATTTAATGAAAGTTGGAAATAGTCAGACTTTCCGACCCAATTTGTAAAATCGAGTTGAAATAATTGTTTTATTCGTACATAGGTGTATCTTTCAAACCCTTCCTGTATTAAGGTTTTTCTTCAGATTTTTTTAAGAAGCATGCCAAAAGAAAGCTTATTCTCTCATATACTTAATTAAAATCTCATATGGATCAGTGTTTTTAAAAAAGTTACATCTGTTTTAAAATGTAGAAAAAAATACTATTTTTTACGGTAACGTAATTATGAGTTATTTTTTAATATAAATATCTCATAATAATGAGTAAAAATAAATGGATTTTTCTTTCATTTTTCGGCGTTTACAAGTTTATCTACATCATAATCGGCTTTTTATGACCATTAAAATCATTTTAGTGAGAGCTGAGAATTTCATGGACAATCATAAAAAACACACACCATTACAAAACCAATACACATTCAGGTTCTCATCGAAGCTAAAACCATCAAATAATACTTATTTATTATTTAATGCATATAGATTCTATATACAAATATAAACATGGATAATTTTTTTTACTTTTATATGTGAGATTTTTCAATTTATATATTATATTAATTGAAATAAATATCAGTGTTAGACTAGAAAAATGATAACAGTTTTGAGGAAAGCAAGCATGTTAAATTTTTCACCGAGCTTGTAATAAACCATAAATAAGGTAAAATATAATATAGAATTGATGTAAAATTTTTGAAATTTATTTAATTTTTATTAAAGGTTAATATTTTTTTTATTAATAATTTCAATTATTAATTTATTAATACTCTTATTTAATTTTTATTAATAGCTTATTACGCAATAGATTGTTGGAGATTCGAAAGAATAGGTTAAATTGTACTTGCCTTACGTCCTATGTAATGCAAGTAATCACAAATACTCTAATATTCCAAGAAATCTAATGTTGATTTTGGCATTAAATGCACTACGTATACGATTTACACTATACGTCATATAATCAATATAATTACTTAAATAATATAATTTAATTACACAAAATCTATGACTGATTTTACTTGTAATAGATTCTTTACACTCTATATTTTATTAGAAGTATAATTTATAATTTGTCCTTATTTAATATTTACTGAATAAGTATTTTCTTTTGAGAGAATATATTTTATTGAGAGATTGACAACAATATTTCTAAAATCTTCCTCTAAATCAAGATTCAAAAATATTTATATCTATGTAAAAAATTTATCAAGGCGGAATTGTGGTGGCCCAATGTCTCCCGGCGCTAGCGCCTTGAAAGGATGCGGCACAATGATCACCAAGACAAAAATTAAAGACTAAAAAATATATTCGTAAATTTTTTTGCGCAATCCGCCGGCACAATGTTCGTTAGAACAAAGACATTAAGCTCAGAGACTAGCTACCCAATAAGAAAAGCTCACAATAGATTTTTACTATTAAATACAAATTTAAAGTTGGGTTGTATTTATTATTAAAATAAATTAATTAAAAAAAAAATGTAATGTTTAAAATATTATTTGATATTTATTTGCACAACAAGAAAAATAAAACATTATTATTTAATAAACAAATTAACTTAAATTAAAAAATTGACTTAAAATTAAAATTTCTAAATGTCATTAAATTCTTTAAGGAAAAAATATTCTAAGTCCGAATTAATTAAGAAAACGACTAAGTTCCAGAGAGTGAAATCTTGAGTAGAGTGTCGTAGATTTTATGTATTTTTAAATTACCGAAAGAACTGGTTTAGACTGGGAAAAATGGCTTTTTATTGTCTATTTTTATAGACTATTTTGGAACTACAATAAAAAAATAACTTATTAAGTATTACTACTTTTTTCATAGACTTTTTGTCATAAAATAAAGTACATTAAAATCATAATTTATAATTATTTTGACATGAAATAAAAGAAGGTGTAAGGACGTATGATTGAAATTAATTTTGTTAAAAAATAGTGGGCAGAAGGATAGGACATACGGTATACGATTATTGATTACTTTGTCATAATAAAACAGTAATAGCTACATATGAATTATTGTTAAATAAAAAATAAATTGAAATGACATAAGAGTAATAATATTGTAGATAATATTTGTTTTAAAATAAAATAGATAATTGTATTGGGAAAGAATTTTATAATTCTTTATTTTATTATCGATTGTACTATATAAAGAAATAATGTGGATTTGTTTGAAATACTACTGTTTGATTAATAATAATTTATTACCTTTTGTTCATCTAACTTCATCGTTTGTTGTAAAAGTATTTAAAAAAAAATAATAATAAATCTGATTTTAATTTATTTAGTTATTTTATGTTCTTTTAAGAATAATTAAACTTGAAATATTATCTCACTTAGAATCCCTTCTACACTTGTTACTCAAACATTTTTAATGTGTTTAAATGAAATATGTAAAACGTGATAGAGTATAAAAATTAATCCCTAGTAACACGTCACAAACTATTGTTTTACTAATAGTTTCAACCGCTAAATATGCTAGATAATGATTTCATTAAACTGTCAGTATCTTGTGTAATTAATCAAACACGTATCTATCTAAATTTAAAATATACTCTACGATCTCTCCAGTGACACGTCACAAAGTATTGTTTTACCATGAGTTTCAATCACTAGACGTGCTAAGGGTTTAATTAAAGAATTAAAAAAAAATCTTAATTGGAACAACTCAAAAAATAAAATTTATAATAAAAAAAGTTAACTGTTTTAATAATTATTAAATATTTAGAAACTTAAATAATAATAAAACATAATTATTTTTATAAGTACGTTACTAATGAGAGAGTTAGATAAAAGACACTAAGTGTGAAAAAGTTCGAAGCCAGAGAAAGTGTAATAAAAAGAAAAGCGAGGAAGGTTGGGAAAGTGGAAGGGTTGTAAGTTATATGAATAATGTTGGATTCATTCATATCGTCTTAATCCTACCTCTTACCCACTCTTTCCTATTTCTTAATATTACATAAATATAGTGCATGTCTTACGACTACCCCTACCTTGATATCATTGATACATTGTGATATTCCTTGTTGACGTCTATGTTTTAAGTTAATTTAAATAAATAAAAAATACTGGTATGTGGTGACACATACTAAGTTTATTTCTATGATTTAAATTAATTATTTTAACAAATGTGTAAGACTTATAATTAAGATTGACAAAAGTAACATGAATTTTACATTATTTACTTTAATATGAAAGAATAAGAGTATGAGGGAATAATGAGTAAGAATGAACAGATGTGCTAATTTTCCTAACCCTTTTATATTAAACTAGTTGGTAAGGTGATAAAAGGAGGCTAGTTCTTCTCAAAAATTAAACTATTTTATCTTGTCGTCTGTTCGGCGTCACAAATACGCTTATGGTAATTAAAAAGATTGACATTAATATAAACATCGCTCCGAATGAGCGATATATTTGTAAAAAGTAATAAAATAGCTGTCGGTCAGAAAAGTATTTAAAATTGATAATTATTTATGTGGAAAAATTATTCTAAAAGCTTCTCAAATATTCTCAAAACTTCTATTTTAATTCATTACAAAAGTACAATCGGGAATCAATCTGGCGCAGAGAGGCTTCATGACCATGATTTCTAGAAAAAAATAAAGTGTAGAACTAGCCAAAAATCATTCTTTCATATACCTGTTTTTGAGGGGAGAAATCATAATTTTAGATTTAAATAAAAGATGCTTCTTATTAGTTTACAATTAAACTTAAATATACGAAACCTATTATTCTATTATTTGAGTTAAT